GTTGTACCCAAAAAGGGCAATGAGTGAAGGTGTGACGGTGTATGGGCAACTTGGGGTTCAACTGTTGAAGAATAAGTAGATTTCTTGAGAAGGACCATGGGCTAGCTTCCAACACTCTTCATTGCTCCATTTTCAGATTTGAAAGTGAAGGTAAAGAGCCCTTGTTGTGCCTAATCACACACTACCCTTTCTGTTTTCCATGCTTTCAACATTGTCGATTGGAAGGCTTGGAAGTTAACATTAGGCTTTGAATGGAGTTTCCCCAATAAAGTCAGCTGACATTCCTCTATTTTCCTCTGGGGAATTTCCTCAAACACCTTAACTACAGAGTCTTTTGTCCACATTTTACCCATACGTTTGCAAAGTGCTGCCATTTTCTTCTCTCTCTCTCTCTCTCTCTCTAATTCTTTCTCCATTTTCTATATACTATTGCAGCAAAAGCCAAGGTAACTCATTTTAGTAGGGTGGGCCACAGAAAGAAAAGTTTATTGAAACATCAAACCTGGAGTGCGCCTTCTATTGCACTTCTAGAGTTCTCATTCCTCGGATAAGCTGCTGCCTTGACTCTACTTTCAGCTTCAGCAATTGCTAAGAAGGGATAAGGGTTCCAGGATTGAAGGGAGCTCAAAATCTGTTTTGCATTTTCTAGGTACTAGCCATTGGGATGGATTTCGTTGAAAAAGTGGGTGGATGAAGGTAAGAAACTAGTCGGGTTAATGTGACTGTTTGTGGTTTGAGAATACGTGGTTTTTCATGTTGGTTTGTTTGGAAGGATTGATTCCTAAAACTAAATGGAAGACAGAAAGCTTAAATGTACGCTAGGGTTTTTTGTGTGGCTGGTTCTGTGGGTGATTGGGTGGCTGTGGGGTATCGGTGGCATGGGGGATTGTGGGTGGCTGTGTTGTTTCCATATTCAGGATGTGAAGGATGGAAAAGGGAAGAAATCTACTCAGGAGGTTAGGGTTTAGTGGGGATGACTATCTCCATGGATACAGGAATGGTCAAAATGGTTCAATTTGTTTTCCCTCCGGAAACATTCAGCAGAGCAGAAACCATCAGTGCAAACATCATCGCCACTAGAAGGGCAAGTTTCATCCAAACCATGGATTGACCAAGTTTGGACAAACTCCACGAGTGGCCCATGAAGATTGATATATTGTTCATCTTCTAAGTGCTCATTGATCTTGAATTATTCAAGATTGAAGGTATCGACAAATATTCTAGAAATGCTGATCGAACTCAAACCAAATGGCCATCCAATTGAACGTGCATCGGTCGCCGAGGGGTAATTTTTGTAAAATGGCGCGATATAGGACTTGCTCCAATTCTCACGACAAATCGCACATAGAAACACTTGATGAGTGCCTCTAGAATCATTCTTATATCTATATAAGAAAATTATGGTGCTCTCCTTATCAGATTATTGAAAAATGGCAAACGTTTTTACATGCTATTTTGAAGAATCTAGTCGAGCATTAAGTGCCTTCTCGGTACCTTAAAAGCCAAGTGGAAAAAACATGTTTATGGTTCAAGAAGCACTATCTCATTTATTTTTGAAATATGGACACATCTCAGTAAGGTTAGACCACAACATCAGGTGCTTCGCTTGGGAAACGACCATATACATATGGTCTTTTTATCTTAGCACTTCTATGGTTCTTCGAGGGACGGTTCCTCAATCATAACCTTGTTGTAGTAGCTCATGTATTTTACCGTAATTCCTATACAAACCACCATAACTTGTATAGAAATTTAGGGTGCGCATGAATACCATTCTGTGCCCGGGAACTATTTCTGAACAGAAATGATTTTTTTTTATTCTGTGTCCGAAAACAATTTCTGAGTATTTGAAGGCGTTTGATAAACTGACTAAAATTTCTATTCCTAGAGTAGAAAAGAACAGAAATGCATTTGGTAACTACACAAAATTTCTGTTCCCAAATAATATTTTAATAATATTTTGAATTGTTTAATTTTTTTTTATTTCTACCCATTTTCTTCTTTGGCCATGGCCGGTCGCCGGCCGCCGGCCCAGCCCAGGGAAGAACAACACAAAAATAAGAAAAGAAAAAAAAGAAAAAGAAGAAAAAAAACCGATTCTCAAAATTGTGCCGAGAAACAAGAAGCAATTTTTTTTTACTTCTTGTTTCTCTTCCAAAACTGTTTCTCGGCACAAATTTTTGCAAAAATGTGCCCGGGAACAAAAAGTTTACCAAACGCATTTCTGTTCCCAAACTATTTCTGGGAACAAAAGAACAGAAATTTTCACTGTTTGGCACGTTGCCAAACGGGCCCTTAAAGACTGTACATAAGGACGCCGTTTGAGATGTATTATTTTGTGATTAAACCGTCATCCATCTCAGAAAAGAAATGGGCAAAACGTGATCTTTATGTGAGTGACCACAACTGTCGATGAATGATGCATTTGCTTTCTTCTATATTTCGATATGATGAGTTTGACATGACATAATCCTATGAAATATGCTAACGGGCCCTAGTGCAATATGCCAAGCCTTGTGTTGGGCCTCGCCCGAAGAGACTATAGCCTCGTCGGACCAATGCAAAGATACAACGTGGGTTGAACAGGGACAATTCATTTCATTTCACACGTTGGAGGTGACCCCCAAACGCAAAATTAGGCATTCAAGGGGTCACGTCTTCTTTGTTGCATTCCTTAAATTCAGCACATCTAATGATCTTTTCCTATGGTCGGCGGGGCCATCTTTGGAAGGATGGCTGATGCGATCTGTCTGGTGGTGCATGCACGTCTCAATCATTGATAATTTGCAAAGCCTTGTTGCTGGCTCTCCTATGCCACAATACCCCTTAAGAATTCAAAGGACAAGTCTTTGAGTTTTTGCCACAAGGGATTAAAGAGGAAAAGATGAAGGAAAGCTTGAGACAGAATGTAGACAAACAGTTTTTCAATTGTCCTCTCTTCTCCCTTTTGGCTTAGGACAAAGTGCTTTGCCTTCCTCCGGTTCAAGAGGATGATTGAGGACCAAACACCCAACAACCTCAACACTCCACTTGATGAACGTGTTCGAACTTCGATTTTGCTTAGAATTCACCCATTCTAAGAGAACGAATCGGACAACGATAACGCGGTGATAGGTGCGGAATCTTACGTCGGGACGAGGATCGGGCAACCTGGACGTATTAGATGAATAACGAGTTCGATTGATGGGGTAAGAAAAGGGAATTTTACGTGAACATTTTGTTGTCATTACTTGTTTACATAAGAGAAGAACAACTACTACATGATATGGTTGGAGTATCATTGTAGTTAATAATGAAGAGAGGAACTCAGCAAGTGCCGTGTGCTTTGCAATTTCATGTGAAGTCTTGTGAAAGTTAAAGCCGACAAATATTGTCCAACGACACGTCGCAATCACCTGCGGAAACCATCAATTATATTCCACATCTTTCTCATTTTGCCAAGAGAAACATTCCTTTGTCCCTTTGGTTTCAAGATAGGAGAAAGATGATGCCCCGAGGTCACGTTTTTAAACCTAGAAACCCTAGGCCAGGCTAATGTTGATTTAGCAACCACGGACTAAATGGGGGGACCAACCAAGGCCTTCTTCAATAGGACGATAAGTATGATTTTCGCATCGGTAGCAACATCTTATGCTCCGTTGATATATGAACGCAACGCGACATGTGGCGAAGATCGCCTATCTGAATCTTGGCTCGTGCGTTATATAGTTCGTGATGTCGGTTCGGTATTTCGTGACCCATATTTATCTACATGGCAGGCTCTCTTGTCATGAAAATATAGCAAAGTTAGATCTTTTTTTTTCCCTATTTCGATAATCCTGGGAAATTACCAAGAAAATTCCTAAACCTATTACACACATGCCAGTTTAGTCATAAACCTTTCAATCGTGTCAATTTATTCGTAAACCTTTAGACAATTTGTCAATTTAGTCCTTCCATCCAATTTTGGTCGAAAATCGCTGACATGACGGTTTAAACGGCACCAGCCATGTTATGTGGTATAGTCTACGCTGACATAGACAATTATTTAAAATTTTTAAAAAAATTTGAATTTAATTTTTTTCTTCTTTCCTTTTTTTTTTTCTAACTTTGAGCTAGCGACCTCTCTAGCCACAGGCAAGGGCCACGACGCCCTCATCTGGTTTGGACGATGGCCTCCGAGCCCTCGCCAACCATAGGTAAGGGCCATGACCCTCGCCTGGTGGCCGATGAGGGTTGTGATGCTTTCGCCTAAACCAGGCAAGGGTCGCTAGCCCTCGCCTATGGTCAAGGAGGATCGGTCGGCAACCTCGCCAACTTTGGGGTAGGAAAAAAAAGAGAAGAAAAGAAGAAATAATAATAATTTTTAAAAAAAAATTCTACATCAGCGTCAGCCGTGCCACGTAGAACGATCGGTGCTAACTATACCGCCACGTCAGTGATTACTGGCCAAAATTGATCGGAAAGACTAAATTGGCAAATCATTGAAAGCTTTATGACTAAATTGGCACAATTGAATATTTTATGACTGAATTGGTATAAATGCAATTGGTTTATGACTTTTGTGGTAATTATCCCTTGAAAATCTTATGGAGCATAGACATCATATCTTAAATCACTAGCTACAATAATGGCATTAGCGACTGAATTAGTCCATCCATGCATGGTGTCACCATCTTAGGTAGACACCATTGTTCCGTATGGTAATGTTTTTGTTCAAAAATAGTTTTTAAATTCTATTCCTTGGATTAGTTTATGAGCAGAAAAACGCATTTTGTAACTGCACAAAATTTCTATTTCTGAAAATGAAAAACAACATAAATTCGTTTGGTATGACTTTAAAAATTTCTAATTCCAATTTTTTTTTCATTTAATTATAAAAATGTTAGTGGAGGTGTTGCAGTGGTGTAGGAGGAGGTGGTGACTAGGGCAGTGGCGGGAACGGTGGTGGAGGAGACCTTGGTGGAGGTAGCGTGGGTGGAGGAGGCATTGGAGGTGGGGGTGTAGGTGGTGGAGGAGGAATGGGTGATGGTGGTGTTGGAGGAGGTGGTGGTGGAGGAGGCGTGGGTGATGAAGGCGTCGGAGGAGGTGGTGACTTGGGCAATGGTGGGGGTGGTGGAGGAGACATGGGTGAAGGAGGTGTCGGGGAAGTGATGACTCAGGCGATGGTGGCGGCGCTGGCGGAGGAGGCATGGGTGGTGGTGGTGTTGGAGGAGGTGGCAATGGAGGTGGCATGGGTGGAGGAGGCATTGGAAGTGGGGGTGGAGGCGTGGGTGGAGGCGTGTTAGAGGAGGTGGCGTTAGAGGCGGTGGCGGTGGAGGAGGTGTTAGAGGAGGTGGGGACTCAGGCGATGGCAATGGCGGAACATGGGTGGCGGTGACGTTGGAGAAGGTGGCGTGGGTGGTGGAGTTGTAGGAGGAGGTGGTGATTGGGGCAGTGGTGATGACGGTGGTGGAGGAGATTTTGGTGGAGGTGGCATGGGTGGTGGAGGAGTTTGAGGGGGTGGGGGGTGGAGGAGGCATGGGTGATGGTGGTGTTAGAGGAGGTGGCAGTGGAGGAGGCGTTGGTGATGGAGGTGTCGAAGGAGGTGGTGACTCAGGCAGTGACGATGGCGGTGGAGAGCATGCGTGGTGGTGGTGTTGGAAGTAGTTGGTGTTATAAGAAGAGGCGGCGGAGGAGGTGTGGGTGACGAAGATGTCAGAGGAGGTGGTGAGTCGGGCGACGGAGGAAGCGTGGGTGGTGGTGGTGTTGGAGGAGGTGGCGTTCGAGAAGACATTGGAGGTGGGGGTGGAGGTGATAGAGGAGGCGTGGGTGGTGGTGGTGTTGGAGAAGGTGGTGGAGGTGGAGCCGTGGGTGGTAGGGGTGTTGGAGGAGGTAGTGAGTCGGGCAGTGGCGGTAACGATGGCGAAGGAGGCGTGGGTGGTGGTGGTGGAGATGGCATGGGTGGTGGAGATTTTTTTTTGTCCTATTTACCTTGTTTCTCTTTTTGTTTTTGGGAAAAAAAAGTAGAATTTTGTTACTTCTTATTTATATTCTAAATCTATTCCCTTGCCACTTTTCTATTCCGCAAATTTCTATTTTTTTTCTATTCTAAGGAACAAAAGAACAAAATAATAAAAAAACAAAAACATTACCAAACGAAGGTTACAAGAAAAAAGGCTTCTCTTCCACAACCCTAATGTTGCCTCAATACTGTATTTTTTTTCAATTAATGTTTTCATGCACAAATATGTACATAAGCTCCATTCGTTTCACGGAAAACAACTTCCCTGAAAATGTTTTCCGGATTTTCGGACGTTCGTTTCATTGAAAATAAACTATCCATGGAAAACATATTCCCTCAATGGAAAAAAAAAAACACATTCGAAAGTAAGGAAAATGTTTTCCTCTTCTTATCATTTTCCCTTCCCTACTTCTTCTTTCACCATTCATTTAAATTATTTTTTATTTTTTTAAAATCAATTTTATTATCTTTTATCTTTTTCTTTTTTTTTACCTTCTTCTCTGGCTGGTCGCCGGCCACACGTGAGCTCGAGCATAGCTAGAGGGCGGGGATGCTCAAGCTTGCCTGTGGCTGGTCGTCGACCTTCGCCGTGGCCGGCGATCGACTGGAGAAGAAGGTAAAATAAAAGATAATTAAAAAATCAATTTCAAAAATATAAAAAAATTTAAAAGTAGTATATTGAATGATTTTTCTCACCGAAAAGTGAAAAATATTTTCCAGGTCTTTTTTATGTTTCAGTTGAACAATAGAAAATATTGCCATTTTCCTGGAAAATGGCTTTCTAGAAAATATTTTTCACAAAATGGACGGAGCCTACGTTTAGAAAGCCTGAAAGTTGAGGATATTAATAAATGAAGGAAAAGTGAATTCGACATTAAACATCAAGACCCAAATGTGAAGAAGTCGCACTCCCAAATCCAAAAGGACTCGATGATGGCCCGTTATCGTGAAAGGGTTCCCCATTTGGGACGCATCATGAGAACGCCGTCCTGTCCATGATGGCACAAACACAAGGGCATGCAGTTCTTGTTTCAATAGGACTTGCTTACCAGAGACGACATATTCGTTACAATTCTTGACGAAATTAATTAATTCAAACTGTTTGTCCTACACCGAAAGCTAGTTAACCCGAGAGTTGATTTTTTTTTTTTGTTGAACCCCCGAGAGTTAGTTGGAAAAACAAATAAATACGAGAAAAACACGAGAAAAGTCCATAATTCATAAACTGTCATAAAAGTTAATAATTTCGTAAAGGTATTGGCAAGCTAACAACCAATCATCCAAAAATGAAGTAGTCAATATCTTTCTTATAAATGGTTTTTCTATACCTACCAACTATTTTAGAAATCTTTCGATACGGAAAAGACCTGTTCTCTTTTGTCAGGCTCTCTCTTCAATATAATTGAAAAGGGTTGTTTTTCGGCAATCATGGTTGTCATCCAATACATCGATTCATTTCACGACACCGTCTTCTCTCGTACCGAGATCAAATTTTTGAGGAGTCAAATCCAAAGAGGAAGGTGTTGCTCTCACTCATCAACCCCCCATTTTCCTATCTCCCCATCAATTTCGCGTCACCGCACTGTGATGTCAACGACAAAACACAAAGGCATCTTAGGAATGGCAGGGGAGTACCTTAAGGAGGAAGGGCGGGAATAACGCGTCCGCCATTTGAAAAGAAGGGGCGAAGGTACGGCCAAACAACTTTGAAGGTGATGACAAGTGATTATTATAATCATCGATCAAAGAAGTCTTGTCATTCATCGGACCCTTCTTTAATAATTTCTCCAAAAGCCAGAAGATTTTGCTGTCCAAGAATATCAACAGGAGAACAATAACACCCCCCCACAACTTCTCATTCCTCTCTCTCTCTCTCTCTCTCTCTCTCTCTCCACTTCCCCTGACATTCCTCAGATCTGAGGCCAGAGACATGTCTGCATTGGGATTCCCATCACAGCAATCATTGTCTCGATGCTGATCTCCATCGTGCTTCCCCTGTCAGAGCTGGTATATTTACTTAGTATTTTAGTTTAATAGCTGAAGTAATCAACCACCGTCCCTTCATGTGCAAAGATTGAATTTTTGTCGGCCTTTTTGCCATTTGGAGTCCATGATATTTGTGATGAAGAAGTGGGTCTTTGCCAACCTTTCTTTTTGTTGAAGTTCCGCAGATATTTTCGGAAACTGGGTATTGGCTTTTTCACATTTCTTCTGTGGTCCCCTGTCTCTCTCTCTCTCACCCTCTTGATACGGCGTGGATTTAGGGGGGATTAATGTGTTGGGTGCCCATCAGAAGAGCTGTTCGAGCATTGTGCTTCAAGTAATTCTGGGTAAAGACTGTATTTAAGCACGTTACTTGCAAAAATTGAACAGCTTCGTGCAAAGTCTGTATACTCTCTCCAGTCCTTTTCACGTATCGAATAAAAGTTCCGCTTTTTGGGGCGATTTTTTTAGATTTAAGGATGTGTCGATCGCGAAGCTCGAGTTGTTGGGGGAGTGCATTGTAAGCAAAGCTTGGAATTCTCAGAAGAAAACCCAAAATTGTTTCGGTTGGAACAGTTTAAGCTTTTGATCTTTTTCCTCTTCTGGGTTTCACTCGGATTGTTCTTGAAGTTCTGATTTTGCCCAGATAGTGATTTGGGTGATGAGAATTGCACGCATGGTAGTCGGAGTCTAAAATCTGCCCGCCGCGGCAGAGCCCGCGATGGACCGCCGGACTTGGCTCTGGCGAAGGAAGTCGTCCGAGAAGAGTCCCGGAGAAACAGAGAGCTCCGGTTCGTTGTCCTCTCATTCTGGACGATTTTCCGATGAACAGGTTCGTAAAATTTCTATCTTGTTTAACTGAATCAATTGGTTCTTGCCTCTGCAGGTTAGTGAACATGCTCTCATTATGATTGGTTCTAATTTTGGTCCAAAATGATGCCATAGTGTTGTTTTTTTTTTTTGGTAAGGTGATGCCATATTGTTGTTCATTTTCATTGAACACAAAAAAAAAAAAGTTATCTGCTACTGCGCGCAGATTAGTCTTCAGACAATTTTGTTTTTGTGTAATTGATCCCCCTAAGTATAATTGTGATTATACTTGAGGAGGAGTCCAAAAACTGACCGAAGTAGTCATATAAATTGTAGACATTTTCCAAGAAATTTGCCATGTAGATCATGCTCAATAATTAGATGACTTGCTATACTTTGGAAACTTAATCTTCCTAATCCTTCCCTCCTGCCGCACTTCTCTCTCATTTCCTGATATGTTCCGCAAGTTTGATTTAGCTTTTACATAGTATGGTGATTGATGAGCATTGGTGTTCCTGGCTTGTTTCTAAAGGCATATCCAACGCATAGCAGTCTATCTCAAGAAGTCACATCTAAGGTTGCGGTTGCGGATGACGAAGTAGGTGAGGATGTGAGGACTCTATCAGAGAAATTATCTGCCGCGCTTCTGAATATTAGCGCCAAGGAAGAATTAGTGAAGCAGCATGCTAAAGTTGCAGAAGAAGCTGTATCAGGTAGTGCAACAAAAACTGACGTTTCTTACAATGAAACACCAAGCATCTATATAAGAGAGAAATTAGTTTGGTTTCTTCACATTTTTAATGCTATCTTAAAAAAGAAGCAAGTTTTCCGCCAGTTTTTCTTGTTTCTGTCTAGGAGGGACATCTGAACTTGTCTGTAGCAGAGCCTGGATGTGATTTGGCTAGAGAGAACTTAATAACATTCATAGGGATGAAGATCAAGGAGCCGTGGTTTTTTTTTCCTCCAAAAGACATTTGCCAAGTATTCTTATAGTACTGTAGCATGATCTTTAACCACAGCATGATGATTTCGTTTCTTGATGTCTGTATTTAATATCCAAAGCTGCAGCAAATGAATGGGGATTGTAACAAGATATCTGAGAATGTAGGAGGGAGGAAGTTACCTGATATACTACACAAATTGCACCGAAATTAAGCACTCATGTCTGGGGTAACGAAATTGGAAGCTTTCAATCAGAGGAAGAGTGAACTGAACTCACATGGGTTTCAGATTTGAGGATAACATCTACTTAAACTGTCCCTGCGTTAAATCTATGTAACATTGCATTCGGATTTGCATTTTTGCGCTTACATACTTCGTCGTAAGTTTTTTCCTTCTGTAATTCAATCGTAGGATGGGAGAACGCTGAAAATGAAGTCTTGGTGTTGAAGAAACAACTGGAGGCTGCAACACAAAAGAACTCAATGCTGGAAGATCGGATTGGTCATCTTGATGGAGCGCTTAAGGAATGTGTGAGGCAGCTCAGACAGGTGAGGGAAGAGCAAGAGCAGAAGATCCAAGAAGCTGTGGTCAAGAAAACTCGTGAGTGGGAATTAACAAAGGCCGAGCTTGAGACTAAGCTTTCTGATGTCCATGCCCAGCTTCAAGCTGCCAAGAGTGAAGCTTCTTCAGTTATAAGTTCTGATCTTGGCCCTAAGCTTGATGCTGCTGAAAAAGAGAGCGTAGCCCTCAAAGCCAAAGTCCTTTCTCTGTCTGAGGAGCTAGAAATTAGGATTATTGAGCGTGATTTGAGCACCCAAGCAGCAGAAACAGCCAGCAAACAGCATTTAGAGAGCATAAAGAAGGTAGCTAGGCTTGAAGCCGAATGCCGCAGACTCAGAGCCATGTCTCGGAAAGCAACTGCGACGAATGATATTAAGTCTTTCTCTGCATCATCGGTTTGCATAGAGTCCTTCACCGATAGCCAATCAGATGTAGGGGATAGACTGCTAGCAGTTGAGAATGACATGCAGAAAGCGAGTTGCTTGGAGCCAAATGATTGTGAGCTGGGTCACTCTGAGTCATGGGCATCTGCTCTGATAACTGAACTCGACCATTTTAAGAAAGACAAATCTTTTGGAAAGAATCTCATGGTTTCTTCAGGAGGAATTGATTTAATGGATGATTTTCTGGAAATGGAAAGGCTTGCAGCTTTACCAGACGCAGAAAGTGGAAGCTGCAGCCAAGGAGTGGAGCCCACTCTGGATCAAAACAGATCTGATGAAGTCCCTCTCAAATCCGAGCTTGAAGCCATGATCAATAGAACGGCAGAGCTGGAGGAGGAATTAGAGAAGAAGGAAGAAGAAAAGGAGAAGCTAGAGATGGCTCTAAATCAATGTCAAAAGCAACTTGAAACGTCATGGAGTCAGCTCAATGAGGTTGAGATGAGATTGGTAGAACTCGACACCATGTTGTCTGCAGCACAAAAATCGAAGCAAGCTGCAGAAGAGGAAGCAAGGATTACCCATGAGAGGATGGAAGTGACAGAGTCAAGACTCATGGATGTTGAAGAGGAGATGAAAAAGTTGCTCCTTAATGTCAAATTGTTACAAGAAGAGGTTGAAAGAGAGCGTGCATCGTCTGCTGAAAATGAGGCAAAATATCGGAAGCTGGGGGATGAAAATGCTGAAAATGAGGCAAAATGTTGGAAGCTGGAGGATGAAAATCTAAAGATGAAAAGGGATGCTGAACTGCAGCATGAGACCGAGCTTCAGCGTGTGGCTGTCTCTGATGACGAGCTAAAAGTAAAGCAGGTTAGTTCTTTATGGCTTGTCGAAGCTAGTCTATATCTAATTGAAGGTGTGATAACATGAGTAAATTATCAAGATGATATTGCATCTTGATAATTTATTAAGTTTGCCGACAAACCTGCTACTACGTTTTGAGTGGTGACGTTACAGTTGCATATAGAGTGAGTTCCATCTGCATGAGAAAAGAGAGATGCTTCTCTTGGTACATTCACATCCTGTGTCTGGACATCTGATTTTTGTGCATTCTTATGAGATATGACTTCAATCTCCGAGGTGAATGCTTATTTATTTATAGCCATCTCAAGGAAGACGACATGATCTATTTTCCAGTAACGCAGCATGGTTTTGACCTTGATATCGACATCACATAGCTATGTTAGAAACAGGAGCACTGCATCAGCATCTTATACTTTACTAGTACAAACTGTATAATTGGGGCACAATCAAAACAAATCTCAAGTTTCTCTGTAGAATCGAAGACATTCAGGGGTTAATATAGAATTTCAAAGCCCTCCTAAAAGTTGGGTTTTTTTAAATAACTAGACCTTTGATGTAATGTAATTTTCGGGCATAAAAAGCATCTTACAGTGTTACGCTGGGGTGCTTCTAAAATTCCTTAACCAGAAATGCTCAAGTTAGGCGAAGTATTTTTCCTTTGCGGGTTGTGGCGCTTTGAGCAACACTGCGCTCACTGACTCGATCCACCATCTGATAGGATCAGCTTACCATTGTTTTGTTCATGCTAACTGGGCAATCATGACTTAGTCTGAATTTATTTTTCTTCTAAAGTTCTCATTTAGTTTTGTTATGTAAAACAGGAGCAAGAGCTAGCAGTCGCTGCTAGCCGGTTCGCAGAGTGCCAGAAGACTATTTCATCTCTCGCTCGGCAATTAAAATCTCTAGCAGCAGTAGACGACTTCCTCATTGATTCTGATCTGATGTGCGATCACCTGGATGAAGGATTACCAAGTCCCGAAAACGAACTGCACCATTTAAACCACCCGCCGGTCCTCATTTCTGCTGAAGAAAGATGAAAGAATCACGGTTTAAGAAGTTGATTATTCAACTGGCTGAGGCAGGAAGATGAAATGAGTGAGGTGAGATAGGAAGAGTGTCTGCTTTGATTTTTTGCCTTGTGAATAAACAACCACCATTGTAAATGCATTCATGACATCTCCGGAACCGATACCCGTGAAGCTCAAATATAGCGGTATAGTCAGATTTTTTTAATGATATAAAGTTTCAATTCCTTTAAAGCTTGTGGATGTCTAGATTGGTTAGAACTGCCAATTGTCTTGTTTGATGTTAGTAAGTCGTAGCAAAGGTTGTAAGTTCATCTTGGCCCCGGCAACCCCATGGCGAGCTGCCCAGAAGATTATACATGCCCCAACTTCCTCTTCCAGACAACATGATTTGTGAGTTTGCGTACCATTATAGTTTTATTTTGTATTTTTATTTTCTTAGGAAAAACCTTTAGCTAGAATGTTTGGCAACTTGGCATTCAGTTTTATCCTTAAATCAAATCGGATGTGTAAAGTAAAATGAAAAGGAGTTGCATAGGAGCAACACGAAAACTGAACGGAAAAACAGTTTTATCTTCTGAAACTTGCCGTCCTTACAGCTCTACATCCTGCAATTTATTTCGTCTTACTTTTCCTTCTTTTCTTTCACAAACAGCAGTAAATCGTATCAAGTCCTTTCAGTGAATTTTCGACTGAAAGTGAGAAGTTTATGTACCACTTCATTTTGCCCAAGACACCATCTGTACCTGCAAAATGTGGATGGAACTGAATTTCGTCTGAAAAAGAAGCACGGCCAACCATCTCTTTATCACTTATTTCACATTATAATCTAGTAGGTACAACATCTCGTCTCGACTTTAGTTTTTTGTAAATTGTAAGTATTTGTATCTTGTCAATTATCATGGTAATGTCGGGTAACTGTTGATCTATCTGTCTACTTTCATACTTCAAATCTCCATTCCCTCCAAAAAAATTTGGTTGCAATTTCCTTTTCTCTTCACCAGCTGTATGATAAGCCATGCAACACAACCCAGATCTTGGCTCGCTCAATTGTATCAATCGAAGAAACTCAAGCATCGATACATCAAGCCCCAATGCCTTGACTCATGGCAGTAACTTCATTCAGTTGCGCAATGCTAAAGGCTACCTCTTTTTTTATCATCCATGAACGTTCTTCATGTAGATCATCACATGGCATATGCATTGCTCACAACCAAAGTACCTGTTGAAGTATTATCCCGCATTGATTGACAGCGGGTGCCAAATGCTCTTGATATTCATGTGGTCTCCCTCCACCTATAAGCTTAAGCTTTTAAGTTGGACTTTCTAACAGTACCATTCTTGATCATCCTGCTACAAGTTATGAAACAACACAGGTAATAGAAATCTTAGTCCTGGCTTAATATCAAATTGCTCCACTTATGCCAACTCTAGTACCAGCCTACCAGGTTGGAGCAGCAAGTGTTCGTAGATTCGCTGGCCCACTCATTCCTCTCTACCCTCTTCATATGATTCGTTTCTATGTGTTTCTATGCGGTTGATGAAAGATCAACAAATTATTGTCCATCCAAACAAACAAAACAGTACATGCATAGAGTATCATGAATACATGACATGATATTTCACGTGATTTTGAAGTCTTAAACATTATAACAATAATAATTGATCTTCCATAGGAACTTCTAATTACATGTTATCTAAAGTTGACTATCAGGCTTTAGACCTGCACAACTGGTGAGTTATCATTGTCAAATTCCTTTTACTCTAAAATGACCACCAAGCGAGGTAAAAACTGCCAATGGTTTGATTAAAAAAATAGAGCTTCGATGAAAAAATGATTTGCTAGCCTGAAAGAACTCTCATAAGGGTGCTCTGAAGTGACGCGACTGAATCTATGGCAGACTTAGCAAGCCAACTTATTCCCACTTTAATTCGATGCTCATCCGTGGGGAATCTTATCAGATATGCAAATTTCCTTGCTGCAATTCAGAAATATATGGATTAACATCAATTTTTTTTTAAAGGACCAGGGTGACAGAGAGAGAAAACAACCTGCATGTCCAACTGGACCTTCCAGGGTTAACCCATCAATGAAACTTGGTGAAATTGCAGCATCGTTTCTTCCCAGTGTCATCATCTCGCCCAAGTTCTGAAACCTGAAAATTATATTAACAGAATCATGCACCAGTCACATATCCAAAGCTTCTATAGGTGTACCAGTATAAGCTACGAAACATAAAAATTGTCACACACTAGTAGAGGTAGCGCAGAAGGATACTTAATGGTGTTTGTGATGGGTAACAGTAAGTGCTCCTTGTCACTGAGGGATGTCAACGTGCAACTGAAGCTAACTTATTACATCCACCGATATCTAACAGAACCATAATAATTTGTGGGGACGAAGGTGAGATCAAAGCTACAACATGCATGCTGATTACAAGCAAGGGCACCGCATTGCGATAAGAGCAGATTGAACCATAAAAAATTTTCGGCATAAAAGGTACAAGTGAAGTGAAAGACCTAAAAGGCAGAAGAGGACGGTCATTGATTGCTGCCCACAGATTCCAACCAGTGAAGTCTGCTTGCTGAAAAGCAACCTGGTAGGCCATGAAAGAAATAACTAAAATTGGCGAGGAGATAGCAAAACTAATAGAGGTGCAAATAATTAAGTTGCACTATAACATCATACTTAAATAGATGAATTGCATTTCTTGCTTGTTTACCTGAGCGGTGGCTGGAAGAATCTTTCCATCTGAATCTCTTAATGCAGAAGAATCACCAAGAGAAAAAATGCGAGGGTGGCCCTTGACACGTAGAGTTTCATCAGTTTCCGCTTGACCACGGGCAGTCAAAGGAAGCTCATGGCGCTTATCCCGAGGTTCTAAATCGGGAAGTGAAGGTTTAGAGCCCACAGTCCATAGGACCAAATCTGCCTCCAGATTTTGACTTTGTAATCCCCTTTGAGCGGGTTGAAGTTCCAATATAAATTTCTCAACATCATCTTCTGCCGCAAAGCCCTTAGCAGGTCCACGCTCTTTCTGCATTTCAGGAACTTCAGAGTTTCCACCGGAATAGAAAGAATCTTCAGCGTCACTCGACTGCCTTATATTGCGTACAAAATAACCTAGAAGTAGCTGGACTTTCCTTGATGAAAGAACCTGGAATGGATAGCAAAAGCTGTACATTGTGATCCACCCTCTTTCTTCCAAATGGAGGAAATTAGTTATGCAAAATTATTACTTCAATAAATTATATCTATAAAATGTCCCGGATATTACTTTCATTGCAGCTTCCCTGTTGCCGGGTGGGGCAGTTGGACAGATTGTAGTTTCCACATTTATTGCTGTCACTATTCCCCTCTCCCGTAATCGCTCCGATATAGTGGCAGCTAATTCAACTCCTGAGTAGCCACACCCTACAACAGCTACGCGAATTTCAGACCCCTTCCCAAAGTTCCTTCTCTCCAAAGCTTTTAATTTATTGTCAACCTTCTGCAACAGGAATGTAGACGAGAGAGAATAATAAATGTACCAGATCAGAGTCACTCAACTAAGAGATGTAACTTATAGCATTACAGACACTATAAGAAGGTGCCTTACAAGTGCATCCTCGAGGGTTGAGAATGGCAATGCATACTCAGCTGCACCAGGTACAACATCAAGCTTCGATTCAGCCCCCAAAGCAAGAACCAACCTGACTGCCCATGACAAAAAGAGAGAATTAGCATATCTATATACACATAAAAACCAAATGAGGATCTATCTATCAACTGATGATTCATCAAATCCAAGTTCAACTTTAACAAATCCCAAGAAGGCTTGAATTAGTCTAATCCTATCCTCCAGCATATTTAATTGAAAGAAAGCTCATTTAGCTCAAAAAGGTAAGGGACGATCCTAGAGCAACGCCTAAGAAAAGACGATCAACACTATCCACATAAAACCTGTTTCCTGATTACAAGGCAATCAGGAAAGTTGACAGAGAAAAATCTAGCATATGTCTAAAGTTATGAAGTGCAAACCTGGTAAAAGCTATATATATCACGGTGCCTGACAAAACTAAATTCCCATATGAAAGATTAAAGAAATACTAGCCGATATTCAAAGAGAAAACGATACCAGTCATATTCGACAAAGAGGCCACTTTCAAGTTGCACAGTCCCTCCAAAACCAGATCCTGGAGGAGCATTGATTCCCAGATGATCCAACGGATGCAAGAGTTTTACCCTATCTTGGAAAAACTGAACACCAGTGCTCGCAAGAAGATCAGTAAATCGAGGAGCTATTTCCCATTCTTCTACTTCTGCATCAAGACATAAGTCCTCAGAGAGAATCTCCCTCACCCTCCTTCAAATAAACATATCACTGGAACTATCATCATAAACAGCAAAAAACTATCACAAGCTCTGTAGTGTTATATCTTCATACCTCCAGATAATAGTTCATATAGCATTGGTTTGAAAACAAACCGCTCAGATTGGTCAACAAGAAGCACCTATCGCATTATCAAAATGATCCAATTTAATAAGATGGCTCAAGCTGAATAAGTAATTTGAACATTAGATGTGGCATCAAATAACAACTTACTGGTTTCAACAAACTATACAGACTTCTATAAGACAGTTTGGTATAGTCTAGAGGAGAGATCCTTGTTCAAGTATACAAGTTCTGCTTCGATTCCATTCCAGCAACAAGGATGTTTCAATGAAGAACACGTACTAACTATAGAATAATCAAAGGAATTACCTGAGGTTTCTTGCTGTCAGGCCAGACAAGTGATTCCAGTCTCAAAGCAGTGTATAAACCCCCAAATCCACCACCTAATATACACACCCTTGGTCTCTGCAAAGAAAGGTTTCTTCTGTAAAACTTAACAAAAAGTACCTGTGGATTCATATACTATAATTTCAAAGGAAAATGAGCAAAATAAACATATTCAGGAGTGATGACAGAGAATACAGCATACACCTCCGCCCAAAAAACCATAGTGACTAGATTCAACTAAACTCTTCTCAGTTTCATCATTTCTTCTGCTTCTAACCAATGCATGATAAACCCCCATCACAAGCCACATGGCTCAAAGTTATAAATTATATCAAATGCAAAGCCCAACCTTAAACACTGAGCTAGAATGAGACTGGCTTGGGGGCAGAGCCCAAGCGGCACATGGAACGGGTGGGAGGTTGTTGAGTGGACTGATCCATTCACAGAAACCCGCGCCCAAACTGAGGATTTGACCCTAGTGTTTCAGCCGGCATTGCCAATTGATAACAGAGCATGCACGACGCAATGTGAATAATGCCACATACCATGCGCACAGTTGAGATCCAACAAAGCAGCGGCTGATTTACGCAAGTTATGAAATTCATGAGGTATGCTTATACCACGAATGCATTGGCTATGTACCAGCAACCTTCTCTTTCAAGAGAAGCTGCCCAAGATAGATGGTCACTGATACTAGCCATTCAATAGCGTAGGATGTCTAAAGATGCCATGTCTTTGCACCATCTGTAATTCATGTCAAGATGAAATTTTTTGGTGTTTTCAGCTCCACTAAAAAGCTATTTGAGAAGACAATTTTTCTGTCTTTCTTTTTTGGCCCGACATCAATGCACAGAGACCCTAAATCGTCTTTACTTTCTGCACTCAGCCGCTCCTTCATAGGTATAAACTCTATCCAACTTGCCAAACAAAGACAATGTGTTAAGATGTGCAGGGCCGCACCAGCAATGACCTGCAACTGTGAACTCAACTCAACCTGAATATCCAAATTCGAAGATCACTTTTTTTCTCCCACTCCGCAAACTCTAGGATCAAAGAGCAAAGAGCAGGCAATAATGCGAAGGTCGTCATGCCGAAAGACAGCTAGATGCAAATTAAGGAGGAAAAAACCAACCTTCTTATCAGGCCAAGAGTATGTAGTTGGTGTC